AAAATTTAAAACAATAATAAAAATAGGAACATAAATTATACTATAGTCCTTGTGGACACGCGATGGAACTGAGTTACGTTCCTGCAGCCTGCTGTCCGGAGCTCCGCCCAGCCGTCACCTGACGCGGGCGCTCCAGGCAGTTTCGTGGGAGAGTTTGACCAAAACCACACCGTCCAGGGCGTCCAGCTCTGCCCAGCAGCAGGCGGTGGTGTGGGTTTCTAAAAAAAAAGAGGGGGGAAGGTGGAAGTGGAGGAAAACTGGAGAGGCAGCCAGGCGCAGTCAGGCCAGAGGTCCTGCGGTGGGTCTGGTCGGCGACCCACGACCCACCCCGCGAGCCAGGCGCTGCTCAGATTACGTAAAAAGTTTGACTCTCAGATACCGCCCCACCCTTCTCTCTCGCCGCGCCTCGCCAGACCCACGTCCTTGTGTGAGGGACGTTTTCCATCTTTTATGGCGACTGCCTCTCAAAGGTGTGCGCGAGGCGCGTCCTGGTATGTGCCTCCCTCACCTCCGCAACCCCTTCCCTTCCGTCTCCCATTACCTTTGTCTTCAGTCTTCCTCGCTCCGTAACCCCAGCGCCCCATCCCTTCCCCCTTTTTCCTACTGCCTGACCCTTTTTGCCTTTGTTTCTTTCATACCGTTGGGCCATCATTTCATATCTGTCACTCTCTTTTCCTAGAGGTGCGCAAAGAGTTACCGAACGTATTTTTCGTTTATCGTTTTGCAGGCCGGCAGGGCTCCGAGATTCGTTTCAACAAGGACGGCGACGCGTACGGCAGCTATCACATCTATCAGTACCAGCGCAACGGCTCCAAGTTCGACTACAACCGGGTGGGCTCCTGGGAGAAGAGGTGAGTGGGCGCCGAGGTGGGCGCATGCTGGACTCTTGACAGACATTTTGCAGGAATGCACCTGTTTTTTGTTTTTTTATCGCGGGCACCGCAGTATTGTGGCTTTGTCTACTCCCTCACTGTGAAAAGTAGTTGTAAGGTTTACGGGAAAATTTTCCTTGATGCGAGTTGTAAAATTACAATTTGTAATCGTAAAAATACATGCAGCACGTATCGACTTAGAATGCATTGGCGAGTAAAACATATAAAATGTGTTATCGTAAATTTACAACTTAGTTTGTAATTCGAGTCTACAAAAATTTTACACAAAAATGTAAAAATATTTTTCACAGTGCTTCGCCCGTCAGGTGCGATTGCCCCTGCGGCCATAGCGATTCCCACCGATTACATTACTATTTCTTTTAAGAAAAACATCTTTCATAAAATTACATTAATTTTTGGTTTTTCGATTCACGATGGGCTGTAAATTTACAGTCCTGTTTTACCATTCTTAGTCTTCGAACAACCAAATCGAACACCCTGTCAAAAGCTATATAACTTGTTTAAATGTAATCATTAGAATTTGCTATTTTACAGTTTAAAAGCGTAACATATATCCTCATTTTTCATGGAAAATTTTCCCGTCCCGCTTTGAATGACAAGTTCTATTGCGTTATGCTGTCAATTTCTATGATAAACGCGTATGGAGATTGAAACGCGTATGTGAGGACATTACTGCCACGAGTTGCATTCCTCATAAAGAAAGGTTAGAAGGATCGAATATATTCAGTTGCGCACGTGTGTGTTGCATCATTGCCGCCCGTTGCCCCCGCGCCCGCGCGCCCGTTAACTCCGCAGAATATATTGTAAGGCCGCCCTTCTTTATGGCCCCGCGGCGAGGCCCTGTTTGTTTACGGCCGGGCTAAGGGCTGGTCCGGCTCTTGGGGGGGACAGAGTCCGGGACAGACGGCTAACTGCTCAGGAGTAGTAACCCCTGCTGGGGCCTCTGGCTGGCCTCTCCGGGGGGGCGTGCATGCAACGACTCCGAGAAGTTATACTTGGAAACAACAATTAAAATTTGCACACTTTGCGATGCACTTGCTGTGGTGGTGCCAGAAACCGTGATTGTAAAGTCGTGATTGAAAGAGAGGCAACGATAATTAAATGACTTGTAAATAAATAATCGTCGCAACGGGTCATTAAACTACCAAATTGGCCTGTGAGTTTGCCAGTTACACCGTTTCGTGTGTTCACAAATATAGCAAATCAATACCGCCGCCGTTAGCCTGGAAGCTGTCACCACCCGCTTTGGCGGGACCCAAACTCACGACGCTGCAGTACTTTTTTTTTCCTCGCTCGCACTTCGTAAACTGAGAAGTTGAAGTGGAGATAATTTGGTTCGCGCGCCGCGGCTGGAGTCGCGGTCGTCGCGCCGCCCCTGCTTGTACGTTTAGGCTCCCCGCTGCCGCCGAGGAGGAGGGAGTGGGAGAGGGATGGGGGGAGGGCTGTGACGTGAGCAAGGAGGACAGGAGCTGGGGGGCGTCCCTGGGGATGACGACGGTGAGAGCGAGCGCTAGGCCAGCCTGACGAAGCCTTTAACTCTGGATCCCCCTCGCCAGCCCCGCGGGCCCTCCCGCTGCTGCTTGGCCTCGGCCGTGTGGCTGCGGGGACGTGTAAGGACCTCGTGGCGACACGGAATATGTTGGCCGTGAGTACCTCATCCTCCTCCTCTCCCTTCCCTCATCCCCCCCACGCACTTACGCAGGCCGTATGGTGAGAGGGGCAGAGAGACGAGCTGGTGGAAAAGGGCAGAGCCACGGCGACCACTCCCTGCCCCGCAGTAAAGCACCGCCTCAGCGGGCTCGGCGGGGCGTGGCGGGGAGTGGCGGCGCGACGCTGAAGCTGACGCTCTACGGGGGGTTATACGGTGGGTCTGGAAGGTGGGCGCGTGGAGCCCATCAGCCCGAGGAGCGCCCGCGGAGTCGAGGATAGGCAGACCCGCCAGGCACGGCGGGCAAGCGTGTGGCCTACCCAGAGGGAGCTTCGCCGCGCGCCCACCCGGCAACAGCAGCGGCAGCAGACAGCCAGTGTCCCTCTGTCCCTCTGGTCTTCAGCAGCTATGCTGTACAGTGGCAGGGCCACGCTTCCAGCGCCGCCGGCGAACTGCAGTATGAATGAACTGCCGCGGCGCGGTGGCCCGCCTGTCATCTCTCTCTCTCTCTCTCTCTCTCTCTCTCTCTCTCTCTCTCTCTCTCTCTCGCTTGGCTGCGCCCCGCCCCGCCCTGCTGAATGAACCATGCTCCCCGCCCGGTCCCCCGCGCCTTCAGCTAGGCCAGATTCCTCGCAGCCCCCCCGTCCCTCATATCATTTCCCGGTCCCACCAGAGTGCCTGCTAATTCCCCCCCCCCTCCCTCTCTGTCTGTCTTTCTCTCTCTCTCTCCGCTTCGGCCGGCTAGGCTCCTCTTCCCTCCCTTCGCCCCCGACTGAGATATGGAGATGTGGCTTGCATAACAACAGGGCCCGTGTCACAGGCGTGGCGGTGGAGGGAGGGGGGAGGGCCGAAGGAGAAAGGGGAGAACTCACCACCCCCACCCCTTCTTGCCTCCCCACCGGGGTGCCCTCGGTGAGCCCTCAGGACACTCCACTGCTCTTTGTTCCCTAGCAAGAAAAAAATAACGTCGCTTGCCGTTGGGGTGGGGTGAGTGTGAGCGTGGAAAGTAAATTAGGCTCAGGCAATCCCTAATCCCCAATTAGTTATATCCTTTTAAGTATTAGTTTGAAAGAACACATCAAATCCGTTGGTTCGTGGTGATAATTCATCTTTAAAAGTTTACTCGAACTGTTTTCTAAGAACTGACTGAGGTACACGTTTTCTTGCTTTGTCCTTTCAGCCTGGACTTCGACAAGAACAAGACTTTCTGGGGGCGGTTCGCGACGGCCGGCCAGCTCGCCACCAACCCGCCCGTGTCCGTCTGCAGCGACGACTGTCCCAAGGGCCACATTCGCAACTACCAGGTATGTGCGCAGAATTGTTGTTTTTTCTGCAGAAACTGCATGACTATGCAGATATAAAAGAGAGTTTCTGCTTTCACCATTATGCATACAACATTGCAAACTCACCAGCCCCAGCCGTAATTTCCGTCGTAAAGCTGCTCACAACCCATAAGTCTTCTCTTCCGAAACACGTTATTTTTCATTATAGTTACAAAAGAAGATGTACAGTACACATGGGTGTGACACGTTGTCCATCGCTGTCAGGGCATATTGCTTTTTACACACATTCATAATATTTTACAATCGTATGCTATGAAAAGAACAGTGCGCTTAATACCATAAAACGGGGTCTCGTGAGCACTTGACGGTGTTCTTGTGTTGGCATCTTAACTTGGCTGAGGCCTGGTTCCGGCCTTGGCACGCCCCCCTGCCCGGCCCGGCCCTCGCAATGCGAGCCGGGGCCGCAGGGTTTGGTAGTTCCTGGATTACAAACTCCCCCCGTGCGCCACGCCGCGCCACGCCGCGCCACGCCGCGCCAAGCCCCGAGGTGAGTCGAGATAGTCCACACGGAGAGCGGGTACCCGTCTGGGCCGTTCACAGGCGCACCCGTTATAAAGCAATTTGGTGCGACGGGATAAAGTTGATAAAGTTGAGCGTAACAAAAGACGCCGGCTCCACTTCACGGCTCCCATCCTCCTCCCCTCCGGCCAAACAAACATACACGACGAGTATGGGAATTTCCACGAGAAACCGACACCGTTGTCTCGCACACCTTTACGACTTGTAGGTGGGGGAGAATTCTAATAAAACTTTATCAACACCAAGTGCGGGGATGCGAATTTGCCAGTCTGTTTCACTGGTGCAAGTGAGCTGTAAAAATAATAACGTGTTTGTTTGTTTCACTTTGTATTGTTTTCTTTTTATAAGAAATGAATGCATTCGCAAAACATGCGGGGAAACATTTGTCTGCCACAGCAGAGTGTCAAGCCCGCTGCCGCCGGCCGCCGCTATATCACCTCGGCGGTGGTCCGTGCCGGTCCGTGTCGGGCGGGGCAGCGGTTTGTTGGCTCCCTCCGAGTCCCCTGCTCTCGGCCCCCCGCTCCGGCCGGGGCTCACGGGCTCACGCACCTCTCTGTCCGCTCCTGCAGGTCCCTCACCCCCGGAGGAGGACGGATGGCGGGGCCCGGGTCGGGCTGGCGGGGCCCCACAAGTCACTCGCAGAGGGGAGGTGAGGGAGGGAGGGAGCGCCCTCTCTGGACGTGACTGTCCGGGCGGGGCGGCAGCGGCGGGGAGAGGTAGCCCCATATGGGAGGGGAGGGGAGGGTAACAGCCGGGGCGCTTGGGAGAGTCATCAGTCCTTGTCGCGGGCCCCGCTGGCGTTCGCTGCCCATTCCCTCCCCCTCCTCCTCCTCCTCCACCTCCACCTCC